GGGTTCAACCCACTGCACCACCGGGGTGACATACACATTTTGATGCCTCAAATGTTAGCTCTGTTCTGGATATATTTGACCTGTTCATTCCAAAAATGGCATCCGTTTCTTCCTATCATCTCTAGTTTTTGAGATACAGAACATATGGCATCTACCAGTTGCCATCTGACCTCTCATGAAAAACCATGATAGTCATATCTAAGAAACTAGAGCCAGTGCAGTCTATCTCATGCAATTTTCTGAATTAGCACCCCCAGATAACCCCAGAACAGGCCTAAAAATCAAGTCATCGAAACATTTCTTGTTGGACTATGTTATTGCACTCCAAAATAATAAGTAAATCATTAGATCTACAGCCAGACTTTATTTGGAAATAGACTAGAACTGAACTGGAGAACCTTTGCATTTTCATATGTTTTGGACTATAGTTTCCATAGTCCCATTTGAACATGATGAGGGACACTATAGATGGGTTGAGGCCACAACATCTGGAAAGTGAAAGGTTTTCCATTTTTTAACTAGCTGAAGGCCCTGAGTTGCAAGGAGAGACAATATCAATTCCTTTCTTCACCAGGGATATTGGCGTATACAGTATAAACCATCATACTAGAAATATTTTTGCACATTGGTTTGATGCCATATGCATACTGTGTACTCTGTCTGAGGGAGCTCTGGCCAATTGCATCTTCTCGCCTATGGCAGGATGAATCTTTAGAGCTAAACAGATGACAGATCCCAAGTCTGCCTGGGTTTAGAAGTACCCCCTCTGTTTCAGTGTGCAGAACTCTATTTTTCTTTCCCAGTTTGGAGGGCCAAAGCTATAGTTATCTGATGCTCAAAGATTTACTTTTCACCTATTCTAGGGCACAATAATTACAAATATTGGACTGAAATCTGAAACTAGTGAAGTCCTGCATGTATCTTCTAAGACACATAAGTTATTCATATTTAACAGGTGAAGAATTCTTGACATAATCAGAATATCAATGCAAAATTGTAGGTGCATCACTATAATTAAAAATGAAGTGGATATGCTACTTTTCGATGGCAGAAGTGAGATTGAGAATTGCATGTAAGTGATAACAGGTGTTTTTGTCTTCATATTGGGAAAACACTGAAATAAACATCTCAGTCAATTGCCAATATTCTAAAATATTTGTTTGTGTAGTAGATTGCTTTGTTAGTCAAGATTTACTGCTTCAAACATCAATACTATTGAGGTTTGTGGCTTACAATGAGCTTTGATAATCTGCACCTGCTGAAGCGAGAAGTCACAAACACTACAAGATAGATTTGCAGATCCCTTTTCTAGATAACAATTGCCTGTATGACTTTTGATAATGTGGATTCTGATTATACAGCACTACAGTTCCCCTGAAAAATTAGCTCAAATAAATTAATCCTTGAATAACTTAACTCTAGGTAAAAGGATATCTCATTCATCAATAGTTGAATGATAAATCATCTTACACCATTATCTTGTGGTATATCAGTATCGTGTGATAAAGTTCTATATCTCTAACTTTCAATCTATTGCTCTTTCTAAGAACAAAAGTCTAATTTTAAAATATTATTTGAAAAATATCCCCAGTTTTTACATGAGCTTTATGTTTAGAAAGCTACTGGAGTGAAAGGTGGAAGAGGTTTGATTACAGCCTATAACAGACAAAGCATTTGAGACGAAAAAAGTTCTATTTTTGAAATATGACATCATAGAATCGTAGAGTTGGAAGAGACCTCATGGGCCACCAAGTCCAACCCCCTGCCAAGAAGCAAGAAAATTCAAAGCACACCCAGCAGATGGCCATCACTCTGTTTAAAAGGCACCAAAGAAGGAGCCCCACCACACTCCGGAGCAGAAAGTTCAACTGTTGAACAGCTCTCACAATTAGGAAGTTGTTCCTCATGTTCAGATGGGATCTCCTTTCCTGTAGTTTGAAGCCATTGTTCCATGTGCTAGTCTCCAGGACAAGCTTGCTCCCTCCTCCTGATGACTTCCCCTCACATATTTATACATGGCCATGATGTCTCCTCTCAGCCTTCTCTTCTGCAGGCTAAACATGCCCAGATCTTTAAGCCGCTCCTCATAGGGCTTGTTCCCCAGACCATTTTAGTCACCCTCCTCTGGACACATTCCAGCTTATCAACATCTCTCTTCAATTGCAGTGCCCAGAATTGAACACAGTATTCCAGATGTGGTCCGACCAAGTCAGAATAGAGGAGTGGCATGACTTCTCTGGATCTAGACACCATACTCATATTTATGCAGGCCAAAATCCCATTGTTGGCTCATGTTTAACTTGTTGTCCATGAGAACCCCAAGATCTCTTTCACACAGGCATCCCATTCTGTATCTTTGCATTTCATTGTTTCTGCCTAAGTGGAGTATCTTGCATTTGTTCCTGTTGAACTTAATTTTGTTAGTTTTGGCCAATCTTTCTAATCTGTTGAGATAATTTGAATTCTACTCCTATCTTCTGGAGTATTGGCTATCCTTCCCAATTTGGTGTCATGTGCAAACTTGATGATCATGCATTCAAACCCTTCATCGAAGTCATTAAGAAAGATATTGAACAGGATCGGGCCCAGGATGGAACCCTGTGGCACTTCACTCGTCACTTCTTTCCAGGATGAATAAGAAGAATTGATGGGCATCTTTTGGGTTTGTTCACTTAACCAATTACAGATCCACCTAACTGTAGTTTTGCCTAGCCCACAGTTTGTTTGCCAGAAGGTCATGGGGGACCTTGATGAAGGCCTTATATCAGACTATCTATGTGATCATCCTATAAGTATTTTCATGGGACACTAAAAAGTAGTCTCCAAGAATCAAAGTAATCTAGCTTATTCACTCAAGTATATAATGTATATACAGACCTATGCAAGCATGTGAATATGTTTACACATTGTTTTAATGGATAACTCAGGATTAGATGCTTGAGAAAGTTTATAACTGAAAGAATATATTAAAACATATACCATAAAACAATAAAACCATAAAACAGTTATGAAACAGATAAAACAGAGGCAATAGTTAAAATCACAACACAATAAAAAAGCAACTACTCCAAATGACCAGATTTTTAAGATCCATCCTAACACAACCAAGGAGAGAGGCACACACTGTCTAATCACTTGATCCTCATAAGCAGCCAGACCAGAGGCATTTTACATCGGCTGTAGCTTCCGATTTATCTTTAAAGGCAGCCCCATGTGTAGTCAATTACTGTAGCCTTGTCTGGATGTAACTAACCCATAAGGGTCCATGATGAGATCTCCTTTCCCCAGACAGATAACTGAAAAAGGCACTTCTTGACAACAAGTGATAATTGTACCTCTCTAAATAGTACAAATTCTCTAGAATGCCAAAGCTCTGAGCCCTCATCTTCAAGAAGAGTGCCGCTCTATGAATCTTTAGGTTACAAACTCCAACCCAGATCCACAGGTTTCTCAGGCAGTGTTTTTATCTTGTCTTGGTACATTTGCTCTCATGCAATGTAAAATGTCATCTGGATACCTATTTGAGAATTCTCTCTAGGAAATGTAAATATAGAAATAAGAGATGGATATGCATGACATCTGCATACCAATAGCCTAAACTCCTGGTTGAATTGTCCCAAGGATTTAAATGTATGGGGAATGTAACTGAACTATGAAGCATTCCAGAGATTGGTGATCATAGGTAAGGAAAAAGATATACAGGCGGACCCAAGTTATGAAAAAGATAAGTTCTGTAGGTTTGTTCTTAAGTTGAATTTGAATGTAAGTTAGAACAGATACATTTTAAGTGTAGCTCCACACACACACTTACACACACGCTTTGGACTCTGGATAGCATAGGGATGGTTTAACACCACTGTGACGTTTGTTTTTCTATCTATGCCCCTGTTTAGAAGATTTCACCTCACTTTCCCCCCCTGTGATAATTGCATTTTGAAAAAAACTGGCTTATTGTGGAAACAAGGATTGGCGAGAAAACGTCAGTTGAGACACCTTTTCCCCATGATAACTCTTTTAGGAAGGGCTGTCCCCTCCTGGGATAGATTACCCTCACTTTCTGTTGTCTCACCCCCGTACCTAACTATGAGTCGTTTGTAATTTGAATGTTTGTAACTTGGGGACTGCCTGTACCAACATGATCTTCTGGACCTGTCCTCCAGAAAAAAAATGGAAGCTACTATAGCAACACATCCTTCAATCCTGCTCCAGCTAAGTCAACCTGTGGTTCTCAACCTGTGAGTCTCTAGGTGTTTTGGCCTCTAACACCCAGAAATCCTAACCAGTTTACCAGCTGTTAGGATTTCTGGGAGTTGAAGGCCAAAACATCTGGAGACCTACAGGTTGAGAACCACTGAGCTAAGTGTTTCAGAAAGGCACCATGTTTGGTGATACTAAGAGGAAGACAAAATTATGTCTCCATATTTGTTCCTAGGTGTATATTGTTCATCAGTGTAACTAAGGTTGTTAGTTTCTGGCAAGAGGTTGAAAGCCTTTTGTCAAGTTGCAAGAGAAAGAGGGTGCAAAATTCAGTAACTATTCTTTAAAGTACTTGGTGATACCAAGAAAGGAACATATATTTTAGGGAACAAGCTCCGAACATGACAAGAGGATTATATATTTTCTGGTTTTTGGTGTCTGTGTATTAAATTAAAAATATATTCTGAGTCACCCATAATTCAATAAATTGAAAAAGTCTTAACTGAGAAAAAAACATTCAGTATGACTCAGAAAGAAGTGATATTATCACTCATATAATCTTACTTGTTTTACAATTGTTTCTTTCTTTCTGGACTGCATTTTAAATTACTATAATGTGAATCATTTTGTTGGTCCATTTTTGAAAGCCAAAAAGCAAGTTCTAAAAATACAATTAAAAACAAGCCAATAAAATCATGTTTACTCAACATAATGATGACACTAACATTTTTCAATCTTATTTCTTGGAGCACCAGGTCTCCAAAGCAGAGTATTTGGATAAAAATGTAAGGTTGAAAACTTACCGCAGTGCCATTATTATCCCTAAAAACGTCTTGGTTAAAATAGTCAAAGAGTTTCTTTTCTAATTGTAGCATAACCTGGAGAAGAAGAAAAACAAAAACAAAACAAGCTTTGAAAAACATACAGATATTGTTGGAAAGTCTTTCTACATTGTATTTATTAATTTCTATTCAGGATACCTTTGCATGCCAATTTTTCTTTCATAAGACAATCTTAAAAACCAATTTTAACAGTGAAGAAAGAGGCCTTTAGGGGATGTTTAGTGCCAGTTCTCACATTATGCTTCTGTTTAACAAAAGTGTGAGGAAACAATCAAGTCAACTTTCTGTATAGATACCAGGCAAATATCAACCTCACTTAGTAAACACAATATTCTGAAATTACATGCAATGGAAAGTCAAAATTCATTCCTGGAAAAGGAGTATAATGGCTCAGTCCTATTTGTAGTCCCAACTAAAGCAGATATACAATATCTGTGGATTTCAAAAAAGAGATGACTTACAATCAAGTGTTAATTCAATTGAGGTATTCTAATTGGGACACTAAAAACATTCAAGCATGAGGGTTTTGGGGAATGCATTATATGAAAGGATAGTCAAATATATGGATTTTCACCGGGAGTTCAACAGCACAGATGCATGTTTACCGTCTCAGAAGTGAAACTGAAAAGGGGTGTCTCCTACTAAAGAAAGACCCATGACCCGAAGTGATTTGCTTAGAGGGGAATTTTGGGCCAAATTAGGGGTGACCAAGATCATCAGAGTAGCCCCCGGTGGGTTAAAGTGCTGAGCTGTTGAGCTTGTTGACCGAAAGGTCACAGGTTCAAATCTGGGGAGCAGTTTGTTTGAAAACATGCAAATGTGAGTAGATCAATAGGTACCGCTCCAGCGGGAAGGTAACGGTGCGCCATGCAGTCATGCTGGCCACATGACCTTGGAGGTGTCTACGGACAACGGCAGCTCTTTGGCTTAGAAAAGGAGGTGAGCACCCCCCCCCCCCGAGTCGGACATGACTGAACTTAATGTCAGGGGAAAACCTTTACCGTTACCTAAGATCATCAGAAAAGAATCCATTTTGGAACTACAAGTTTATTCTCAAATACACTTCTTGATGCCTCTTTTCTCCACTCTTTTTCTAAATTGTAGATAAAGATTTAAACCTAAAGTTTGGATAAAGATCTAACTCAAAAGCCCTGTCTCATCAACAGTCTGGATTTACTCCATAAGCTTCCTTTCTAGCCCCTTTGCTATCCTCCATCACCAAATTACAGACCTCTTCAGGAAGAAAAGACAGAAATAGTCACTGCTGAATGTTTTTATGTTGAATGTTTTATATTGTGAAATGCTATTTCAAATTGTAAGTCGCTCACCCAGCATACCTATCTGAACATATAATTGATACTATGTATGTGTTTAACTGTTAGTATATATTTGTGTTTGTAACAGTAGCTAAAACTAGAGTTATCTGGTTTGAATCCACAGTAAGCGTTGCCAAGGAGACCAGGCAGGCTAGCTCAGGAGAGTGAGAAGTGGGCGGAGCCAAGCAGGAAAAGTTATGTGCGTCTTTGGAAAAGGGGCAGAGAGTGTGGAGGCTTGAAAAAAGCCTGGGAAAGAGGTGTGTGTGAGCAGCTGGAGGTTTGTCAGTCTAGAAGGGCTGAAGAGAGAAACCTGGCCAGTTTCTTTAGTCAAGAAAGACTAAAGGAAGCCTGTTAGGATCCCTAGTCAAGGAAGGACTAGAGATCAGAGATTTGATCAAGGAAAGATCAAATTGGAAGGCTATTCATAGTAGGAAACGTTGTTCACTAAAGAGCTTCACCTCAGTAAAAGTTAGCCGCGAGCTGTGTTGTTTGGAAGAGTGGACTCTATTACAAACCAAGTGATATTCAAATTTCTATAAGTTATTTAACAGCCTGCAACCATACGCTTTGTACACAATAAACTTGTTATCTTTTGTTAAAAACCGTCTCATCTCATCTAACCTGCGTCTGTAGAGCCAGATCTCATCGGTGATACCTCAAATACCTCACGTTGGTGGCAGTTACCTTAATTTACAACTAATAATTGGCCTCCTCTATAATATATTCTTATACACAATTGAGGCCTGAGATTAATTCCCTCCATAATCATCCACATCTGCACAATTGGTTTGCGCATCTTCTCAATTATTAAACTTTTTTTTTGCGTGTCAGGAGCGACTTGAGAAACTGCAAGTCGCTTCTGGTGTGAGAGAATTGGCCGTCTGCAAGGACGTTGCCCAGGGGACGCCTGGATGATTTGATGTTTTTATCATCCTTGTGGGAGGCTTCTCTCATGTCCCCGCATAAGGAGCTGGAGTTGATAGAGGGAGCTCATCCGCCTCTCCACGGATTCGAACCTGCGACCTTAAATCAGCGTCAGAATGAAATCAGCGTTCTAGGATGCTTTCACCTCATTTGGAGGACAGAGGCCCATGCTGGACATCACACAACATCATGGGACTTCCAGGATAGGCCCTAACCCAATCAGGGTGAAAGCTGGGTTGTTGTAGGTTTTTTCGGGCTATATAGCCATGGTCTAGAGGCATTCTCTCCTGATGTTTCGCCTGCATCTATGGCAAGCATCCTCAGAGGGTGAAAGCTTCCTGTGTTGTGCTGGCTCTAATTGAGCCATAACAGAGCCTCCCTGTGAGAGCAATACTTTCCCCCATGTGAAAACATCACAAAGAGGGAGCTGCACATGGGAGACAGATTTGCCCTGCTGCTCCCTCTTTCCTCGCGGAAGCCAAGTGAAGCAGGACACTTTCTGATAAGGTCTAAGTTAAAACGGAAGCAATCCACTTACAGCTGATTAGTCAACATCTAACAAAACCTTATGCATCCATCATTTCTTTCTCATTACCAATTTATGGAGTAATTTTTAAAAGCCCTCAAAATGTCTAAATGAATACAAAAGAAGCACTGAAAGAGAAAGAAGACATCCATACATGTTAACTTATGTGTACACAATTGCCTCTCAGCAAAAGGAGAACAGCAAGACAGAAGGAGGGCGCTTGATACACTCTCTTGTAGATAATTTCTATGTGAGGAATTCTGCTATGGTGTATTTGATTTTAACAGACACTAATTCATACTTTAGTCTCTCCCCACAGTCCTCAGATTGTGAGCCTTTTGCCAGTTTTCCGTGTAGGCCATTCCACATGATCTAAATGACATCTATGAGGAAATACACTTATTTTCTTAGGGAGTTTTGCTGTAATTTCAATAGTTACCAGTACCAGAGGGTAACAGTAATTTGGGAAAGTCCATTTGCAACTTCAGTGTGAATGGAACTCTTGTGCTGTGCATAGGATTCATTAAATGTACCATATATTTTGGGTAAGCTGTCATCCAAGTACTATTCCACTTAAATCAATAAATGTTTTGTTCTTCAGACTGAAAGATTAACCATGGTGCAGTTGGGATGTCATGTTTGTTCTTCAGTAAGGCTTTGCCTTTGATTACATACCTTTCGGTCATTATCAGATTCACGGAATATTAGCTTGACTACTTCATTAGTGTCTGCAGCCCGAATCGTCTGCATTGTAGCCTTTGTACAAAGTGTCTGTAAAGGGATGGGTTTGGAGAGAGAGGGATTGAGAGAAGAAGAAAAATAGTTTTTTAACAATGAGATGGAGAAAAATTCCACCTCTTTTATAATAATAATAATAATAAATAATAAAAAAACTTTATTTGTACCCTGCTACCATCTCCCCAAGGGACTTGGTGCGGCTTACATAAGGCCGAGCCCACAATACATCAAAACAAGCAATAACAACAAAAATACAAAGCAATTAAAATAAATCTCAACACAAATAGCATAAACATTGACAATAGCACAACATACATTTAAAATCTATGGCTGGGCCGAATGTAATTAAAATTTAAAATAATGCTGGGCATGAACAAGATAGGGAGGTGGGGCATTGGTGGGAACATACAAACAATCCTAAATCAGTATAAGGTGCTTTAGAGGACATAGTGCTAAGGGTTCATTATTCTGGGAAGGCACACTGGAATAACCACGTTTTCAAGCTCCTCCTAAAGACTGCCAGAGATGGGGTATGCCTGTCGCGCGAGCAGGGCCTCTCCAGATGATCGAAGAGATCGTGTGGGTTCGTACACAGAAATGCGGTCACGCAGGTAGGCGGGTTCCAAACCGTTCAGGGCTTTGTAGGTAAGAACCTGCACCTTGAATTGGGTCTGGAAAATGAACGGCAGCCAATGAAGCTCCTTAAACAGGAGGGTTGACCGCTCTTTTATAAAGTATTAATTGGCCGACACAATGATGCAAAACATAAAATTGTTACATCTTGGTTGATTTAGAAAAATAAAGAGCAACTTTCTCTGACCCTATATACTCTTCCCAATAAGTGGGTAATAGTTCGGAAATGTCGACATTCTTATACATCATAATGTCAACATGTCATGCATCATAAAAAAGGTTTGTTTCCGCAACTCTATTCACCTATTTTTTCTTATTTCCTTACATTAAAGAGAGCTTTGTTATTTTTAACATTACTGCTGTTAATTTCTCAAGATATAATTGTTTTTCCATGGTTGTTTCCACTGTTTTTTAAAAGGCAATTATTAAGGCAAGCAGCTGTACAATCTTGTTTATACCTTCAGCAGATTGTCCAAAAGGGAAAATGCACACCTTGCCTACAGTACAGCATCTATCCAGAAAGGCCATTATTTATTTATTCAAACTATTTGTACTCCGCCCTTCTCAACCCCCAGAGGGGGACTCACGCCGGCAACGATTAGATGCCCCCACATACAACATAATACAATACAATAATTACATATAGGTAAAAACTTTAAATCAATTCAAATTAAATTCTGCTTTAAAATATTACTGGCTGGTTAGCCTTATCTAAACCAAATTCTGTGACCAGTGACTCAATCGGAAACTTATCCATAGTCCATTTTCCATAGTGTTGTCATCTTTTTCACTGCCAGCATTCTACCCAAAAGCCTGGTCCCACAACCACGTTTTCAACTTCTTTCTGAAGGAAAGGAAGGATGTAGATGACCTAATTTTACTGGGAAGTGAGTTCCACAGGCGGGGGGCCACCACTGAGAAGGCCCTGTCTCTCATCCCCGCCAAGTGCATTTGCAACAAAGGCGGGGTCGAGAGCAGGGCCTCCCCAGAAGATTTTAAACTCTGAGGTGGGACATAGAGAGAGATACATTCGGTTACACTTGCTCAATCTCCCCAACAAGAAGATACTATACTGAAAGAGTAAAAAGAGGACATGGGAGTTACTTATGTTTCTTTTGATGTGATCCTGTGTGGACACAAATGGTACCGCTCAGAGTTCCTTTAACCAGTGACTGGAGATTGAAAAAGGATTTGGAAATATTACTTTTCTTGACATTCCTGCTGTTATTGTTAGCTGTCAACAAGTTGACTTCCACTTGTGGCAACCCTATGAATTAGCGACCTTCAAATTATCCCATCATTAACGGATCTGCTCAGGATCTGCAGACTCAGGGCTGTGGCTTCTTTGCTTGTTTATCCATAGCTTCCCAAATACCTTCTCCCCAGTTATCTGGGGGATTCTGGAACATTTTATATATACAGGAGTTAGTTGAGCATAAAATGTGATTTATGGAGGTTCCTTACTTTAATATCTGACAATCTTTACTCTTACCATTAATTCCTCATATGCATTATTTTTAGCAATCCTAGCAGAACACCAGAAATTGTGTTATGTAAGGTAAAATATTGATTCCAGTATTATCTACTCTGATTAGCAGCATCTCAGATGGAGATATTTCCCATCACCTGCTACCTGATCCTTTTTATCAGAGATGCCACATTGAATTTGGGATCTTTTGCATGCAAAACAAGTGTGCCACAATCACTCTTCTAAGACACATACAAGATATCCCAGAGAGTTATTCTTGTTTACCAGATGAGAACTGTGACAGACTAACAAAAGGACTGATGATGTCCTCGGATTGCAAGGCAGAGGAAGAATCAGAAATGCCATCTTTTGTGTTCCAGTTCTGACTACTTTACTCTCTTACAACATTTAACTCAATTATAAGCCTCATATAAGACTTTCATACAAATACAATTATTTTGGAAAATATTATTTTCATTTACAGTAGAGTTTCACTTATCCAACATAAATGGGCCGGCAGAACATTGGATAAACAAAAATGATGGATAATACGGAGGGAGTACGAAAAAGCCTATTAAATATCAAATTAGATTATTTATTTATTTATTTATTTATTTATATATTGCCTATATTTTTACCCCACCCTTTCACCCCCAAGGGGTGACTCAGGGTGGCGTCACAAAAGCACCATATGATGCCAACATCATAAAACCTTTCAACAATACATTACAAATATTTTAAACAGTAATTAAAACAATAGATTAAAACACGCCTATTAAAAACATGCCTATTAAAAATCAGAATCCGAAATTCAAGTCCGGATTTTACAAATTAAGCACCAAAACATCATGTTTTACAACATATCGACAGAAAAAACAGTTCAATACACGGTAATGTTATGTAGCAGTTATTGTATTTATGAATTTTGCACCAAAACAGACAAGGGTTCTTTCTTTCTCCCATCCTGGACTGCGTTGGATAATACAGAATGTTGGATGAGCGAAGGTTGGATAAGCGAGACTCTACTGTATTGATGTTTTACAAAATGCACTCCTGGGTGTAAAACATGGAAGATTAATACTTTTTTTTTTAAACTTTACAAAACCAATATAACTTTTTGAAAAAGTTATCTGGCCTTTCAAACTTAGATTTCTATTACATGGTGTGAACTCAACCCACAGAATTAGGACAGAAATATTAGTAATTGCAGCAATAAGTTTCCCAGAAAATGTTATCCAGAATACTTCAACATAGGGCAGACATTTAAAGGGGTTTTCTTATGCTGCACATACTTTGCAGTTGGCAGTTTGACCATACCGAGGACACAAGTAAAAGTATCTGGCCAGGCTGAGAAGAAAGGGGAATGGTGGCACAGTGAGTCTTCATGGGCAGCTATTGCCTTTATTTTCTTCTCTTTAACCCAGAGCTAATCACTTTTTCCACACATCCCCACAATTTGCCTCGCATCCCATTTTGTCTCTTTTGACAAGTAATTAACATTTTGCCATCTGTGTCTGTATGCAGTTACCAGTGAGGTAATCCACCGGCCAGCCATTCCCAAAGTGCGCTCCCTCCTGATACCGGCCATTGAAATTCAAAGCACAAATTAGCTAATCAGGTCAAGCCCCCCAAAAATGGCCCTTTGGACTCATATGTCACAAATCAGTCTGCTTGCCTTTAAACAGTGCACCAGATTAGAACAAGCACCCGAACAAACCAAAGCGGAAAACCCGCCGCTCTCTAAAGCTGGTTTTCTAAAGCCCTAACAAATCGCTCCATCTTTCACTCATTTAAACCTTCCAAATGAGGGTCAATATGGTCCCCGAGCATCCAAATGCTAATGCGCTTAAGTGCGTTTAAGCAGCTTTCCAGAGTGAATGGGCTGAAGGAGGGCTCGCAAAGACAAGGCAGAGTTACTGTCACCGTCGAAAAGTCATTGTAGCCACCTCCAGAGTGGTCGGGATTCAAGAAATTCATGATTTCTGTCTCTAAAAGGCAGATGTGCTTGGGAACACTCCCCCCTCCCACTCCATCACCTCCCCCAAAACCTGCTTTATTATATCTTGCGACTTCAGGATCCTCTAATGACGACAACAACAATAATAATATTTTAAAATCTGGTAGGTTCCCAAAGGCTCCCAAGATTTGACCGCTTTCAAATTTCAGAGACAAAAATGACCTTATTCGCAAACAAAAAGTGATTAGGCAAAGGTTCATTTCTTATACAATCTGGAGCATTCCTTTTCTCCTCTCCGCCGCCTTTCAGTTTCTAAAAAGTCGTAGTCACCCAAGCAGAAAACTTTCAGAAACATGTGCTTTTTAAAGGCAAGCCTGCTTGCTTATGAAGGGATTTTTTTGTTGGTGTTTTAAAGGGAGTGGGAATTAAAATGCTACAAAAACCACACTGGTCTTTTGAGTCTTTTACAGTTTCTTGAAAGGTACCGTTTGAAAAAAAAGTGTGACAAAGAAATTAGAATAAAATAACAGGGATTTCTCATTTAATTCAAGACCATTACTTTTTCCTATTGAAAACTGCTATTTTTATTTTTGGGGGTGGGCAGGGGAATAAAAAAGTTGATACTGAAAATTTACATGGCAGGGTGTAGATAAGAAAATCTCCCACAGGATGGACAAGCACAATTTAGACTCGGACTCTTATAAAACAAAGCTATAAACATTTATATGGAATTACATATTACAAGTTTTTGGACTACAAGGTCTGAAATCCCTCGCGGCCCTTGCTGGCAGGGAAATTCTAGAAGCTTGTGGACACCAAAAGTTATTTTCCCAATCTCTGGAAAGGTAGAATTAAAGGTTTTCTGGGATGAGGTTTAAAAATACACTCTCATCCTAAACCCATTAAAGTCCATGGCATTCAAACAAACTGTATTTGTGCTTGAGACAGTGGGTACATGGTTTAAATCATGGAAAG